CGAAGGTCAACAAAAATAAAAGAAATGCGAGAAAATAAATTTTTTTGTGCATATTATAGTTTTTGTTCTTTTTTTGGATTTTCGGAATTTTTTGATTTTTTTGTACAATTTTTGAACTTTTTTTTCAGATCAACAAGCAATCAAATATTAAAAAAATAATAGCAAAATGAAGTATTATATCATGAAACGTTAACGAAAGTATAAGAAATGCGAGAAAGTTTTTTTGGGCATTTTATAGTTTTGTTCTTTTTTTGGATTTTTGGATTTTTTTGATTTTTTTGTAAAATTTTTGAACTTTTTGTACAAAAACAGAATCAAACGACAAATAGATAACATCAATATGAAATGTTGTATTATGAAACGTTAACAAAAGTATAAGAAATGAAATCATTTTTGTGGATTTTATGGTTTTTGTTATTTTTTTGGGTTTTCGAAATTTTTCGATTTTTTTGCAAAAATTTTGAATTCTTTTCAAATGTAACAACAAATCAAACAGCAAGAAAATAATACCAATATGAAATATTACATTATCGAACATTAACAAAGTATAAGAAATGGAAGAAAGTAAATTTTTTTGTGGATTTTATGGATTTTGTTCTTTTTTTTGGGTTTTCGGAATTTTTCGATTTTTTTGTAGAATTTTAGAATTTTTTTTCAACCAAAACAAAATGAAACGACAAAACACGATAACATCAAAAGAAAGCAAAACATTATGAAATTAACAAATACGCTCGAAAATGAGCAACGAATTGATCTGCGAGTTTTGGCAGATATGATAAACAAACACAACTTACCTGATGAAGGCTGAAGAGGAGGCGTCGTCTTGACATAAAATAAACTGAAAGTCACACTATAATAAAAATCAACTCACTCGGCCCACACTCTGCAAATGATAACACACAAATAATATCTCACACAAATATCACGCAAATCCACAACAATAGGTAAGAAATTCACACAAATCGCACTTCACACCAACACACCAGATATTAATCACACAACACAATCACGGCATAAAATCAAGAAGCCTTAGTAATCACACACTCATAAGATCATATTCACCCGAAATCTCATACTCACTCTCACACACACACAATAAGAATAATTTAAAACAGCAAATGGTAAGTAATAAATTTACAATAGTAAATATGTTAGTCCATCCGAATCCATCATCCCACCCCGTTGCGCGGAGGAGAGGAAGAACCCGGTCTGGCACCCTGGGGGGCTTCAGGGCATAGGAAGTGACGGCAGGCCCGGCTAACCTGCAACAAGTGACCCACAGTACTGATGGCTTACCGACAATTTTATCATCTAATTCTCAATTTTGTCTCCTATATCAATTTTGAATCGCCCCCAAAAATGTTCCTCTTAAGCCGGAAAGTTATTAAGTTAGTCGAAAAATTAGTAGAAGTTAATTAAAGCTGCCGGGTTGGTCACCCAGGAAAGGATGTATAACCCAGGGTAAGGTGAGGGATGAGGGTGAGATTGTTGCAAGCAGCCTGATTTCCGTCACGTTAGACGATGGTCGGTATGCTTGTTGTCGTTGGAACATTGTTGTTATTTAGTTGATGTGTCGTTGATTGTTGATGAGGTTACATAGTGTATAACAAATACAATAAATGAAAAAGCATAAATCCCACCAGAGCGTCTGATACTAAGCTTGAAGTCATCCTTATCAGTCAAAATAGAAATCGCATCTACCCGAGCAATGTGTCGTACTGTCTAAATTATGAAGTGTCTCAAAAATCGAAATATTTTCAAGCTATAAATGAACATAGGCTTATCGAAACTTAACATAAAATAACACATCGAAAGTAAATAAAAATGAAAAACACACTAAAAGGTACAGTTGAAATCATCATTTAGCAAGACATATACCAACTGAAGATATAACAGAAGACACACAATTTAACATTTTTCACAGAAAATTTTTTTGTTTGATTTTTTTTATTTTTTCAAATTTAATTTTTTTTTCAATTTTTGAATGATTTTTTGTTTTATTTTCATTTTTATTTTATTTTCATTTTTTTATGGTCTTTATTTTTTGATTTATTTCTATTTTCAATTTATTTTTTATTTTTTTCATTTTTTTCTTTTCATTTTTTGATATTTTTTCACTTTTTTTTTATTTTTTTAAGTTGATTAATTAATTTTTTTGGTTTTTATATACTTAATATTTGATTCAGCACAGCTTTATATTAAATGCAAGTAGGAGAGAAAATAGCAATCAGGGAAAATATTAATGTGATGAGGCAAAATAGATATGCATCGTTCAATATGGAATAAGGATTTTTGGAATATGGCGATGGGAAGGACATAACTTTTATTTGGATAATGGATAATATTCAGCAAATTTCATTATTCAAGCCGTCTTCAACATATTGAGATAATTTGTTCTGTACACCAATGTGATATTCAGAAAATCAGTTTTGACTGAATAAACCTGAACCCATTATGGTCAAACGATTTTTAAACCTGCACAGGCCAATGAAACCCTAACCCACGTTGGCCACTCGCTCTAACAGCGTATTGCCCATAAAGACCCTAAACCCGCAAAGGGCAAAACAACCCTTACACACATGGGCTTGGTAGCCATTAACCCATGACTGATAACAGTCTATACCTGACCCACGGGTTCAGTAATTCAATAACCCTGACCCACAGCGCCAGTGAAGTTACCCCATAATATTATAATATATTAACATTGCCATACCTTCACTATCGGCGCTTGAGAGCTGGCATAACCGCCATATGACTCCCATTCTCTTTAAGGATAAGCCCAAAAATTACTCTTGAAGGATTGTTTGTTGGGCGTTTGAATTCATCACGGTGAATAATTACTGAACCCGAGCACCCATTATTACGTTTGAACCAGGATGTCAAGCGATTGGTTACATAAACTGGGTATAGCGCAATGCAATCGCTTTCCCCTAATTGATGTGAACGACGGCTTTGAATCAAAATTTGAATGCGAACGGAGCAGTATGAGTCGAAGGAGACCAATGATGAAAAAAAAAATGTTCATGATGTCAAATGAGATATATTCCCTGATTGCTCATAATAAGCGTTAAAAGTTCGACACGTGGTCGGACATTTGGGCTTGGGGACAGCGGGCTATACATCAGTGAACATATCAACGTTATAATAATGGTGATATCAATGATGAAAATAAACAAAAAAAATGAAAAAAAAGACACAATGAACAATAATAATAACAAAATACGCTGAATCAATACTCGTTTTGTATTATCAAAAACTATGCTAGCTAATATCTCTGAATCTGTCTTACAAAACTGAACTTTTGGAGATATCATTAACTCCTGCTAACACTGCTCTCATCATGAACTCTACTCATATCGAAAGGAACTTATCGCTCTGGTGGGATGGATTACATAATACACTTGCAATATTTTGGGGATGACGGTGAGTTGATTGCGTTGATGTTACGTGATGATAATTGTTGAGTGTAGAATATTATTGTTATGATAACTGTGATGCTGTTAGCTGCCTTGAAACATCCGTAACGTTACCGCTTCCTGAAAATAATAATAATATTTACACAATTAGAGTGATAATACTAGTAACCACAGAACTAATAATAGTAGCCACGCAAAAGTTATAACAGTAGTAACCGCAGAATTAAATCTGTAGTTTAATCAGAAAAATTGTATAAAGTACTCGCTCGAAATTAACTCAGATCAAGAAAACACTGCACCTATGTTGTGATCGTGAGCCACTATTTGCACCGCTGCTTGAAGGAGGTCATGATGATTGCTGTTATTCTGTTGATGAGGATTTCACGCCATTTCTGATCGCTATTTTTTTTGCTTTTTTTGTTATTTCGTTGAGAGATGATTCTCTGAAATAAATCAAAAACATCATGAAAAGCTATCATGTTGTAATGTGAGGGGTGCAATCCCATTCAACACATCACTTATGTGCTATCGATATAGAATTGTAACTTGGAAAATTGTCTTACGTTTTTCGGATTGATACTGCATATCGAACATTGATTGCTGCTTGACGACGTTGTTAATATTGTTGACTTGATCGATGAATTGTTGTTGTTATCGTTGTTAATTTGTCGACGTTAGCGATGAAATTAGTTGATGATGTTAAGTCGAGTTATTGTTCCGTTAGATGTTAAACCGTCCTGCGCCTCTTCCTTTCGATACCCTCCTCGACCGCCGAGGCCCCAGGGACCGCGATGAACGAGTGATCGCGGCCGAGTTCCTGAAGGCGCTCGGCGGCGTCCTTCCTCGCAACTACGGCCTTCTTCGGTGCCGCCACACACCTCTCGGCTCGGTGTGCGTCCATACGAATTGCAATTTGCCTCGCCGAGAGGCCCTGAGGCACCAGGACGGTGTGCCCGCACCAAGTACAAAAAGCTGAAAATCAGTTCATTATTCAATCCACTCATTTAATGATATTGTTATCATTGAATTGAATTCGTTGCTCTAATGATCTCACACGATTTCGCATTCAGAGGAATTCGATGTCTCAAACACTGTTGAGGTTATCGAATGAATTCATTGCCTAAACGATCTCGCACCATTTCGCATTGTTTGAGTAACTATTGTCACAAATTGGATTATCATTCCCAATCATCAAAAGATAAAATATCTTGAACAATTCGGTAATTGTCCTAAAGATATGAAAATGAAATCAATATAAGTAAATGAAAAATAATTTTGAGAATGTAAAAAATGTTGCAGTGATAATAAACGTACTGTTAGTGTTATGGCACTTTGCTCGCCTGACGTGAATTTTCCAGGCGGCTACCGTGGCGAAAGCGGTAGCGCGCCTGGTGCACCCGGGGAGCTGGCAATCTGAAATCAGCGGTAATAACAAAAAAATTCATTGATAGTCTATGAATTACTACTCATAGCACATTAATAAATATATGCCTTTACTATTCTCGGCAAATCATAGTCAAGCAAGATTCTATGAAATGTTATGATCAAAAACATCGCATGATAAAACTGTCATTCTAATCAAATGTGCTCAAAGCGAAATACTTACAGACTTCGTTGTTGGTTACTCTGTACGGTGTTGGGATGGTGGGTGCCAGCTCCGATGCGTGTTGAGGTGTTAGTGTTGAAATGTTAGATGCTTTGAAACGCGGGCAAAGTCGGATGGTTAGGGGACTTGCCTCGCGTCTCGGGTGACGGCTGAAAGCAATCAAATAAACGGTGATGAACTGGTTATCTCTGTCCGGAACCTTCCGGTTCACATTTTCCTAAGTTTCCGCATAATGAACAATGATTCTTAGCGATTCTTTTTCTTTCTAAACACATCGTCACATCCCTAACAATTAACAATTTCAGCTATGAAGCGTTTCTGAATGCGCAATTCGATTCAGCTTACCATACCTTAAGCAATTCAAGCCTAAATTCATTAGAACAATACTGTAATATTACAGATGTATACATATAAAATGAAAGCATAGGAAAACAAAAGCAAAGGAAAACGTACAAGTTGTAAGGACATTGAGTTGCGTTGTTAGTTGTTGAGTTAGTCGATGATGAGGGTGATGATGTCGTTATTTCGTTATCTGTTAGGCGAGGTGAGTTGTCGTGGTCAGTCGATATTGTTAAGGTTGTGTTAGAAATGGATCCAGCCGGAAAGTCAGGCCGGCTGGATGGCCCGGGTTGCGGCTCCTCTTCTTCTTCTTCTTCAATTATCGCCGGCAAGGGCGTCTGAAAACGAAATGACTGAAATGTGAAGTTTGATCGAAGATTTTGTTTTCGTCCTCATTTCATATTCCTCGTTTCATAATGCACAAACATAAGATTTCTACTTAATTTCAGCACCAATCGCATTGAAATCCTTCCCAAGTTCTCTATCTACCTATCGTCTTGAACACTGCCAATAATCTACATTAGTCTCTTTGACAACATTTTATATCACACAGCTATTAAGTAAAATGATTGTTGAGATGATTCAGAATTTACTATCGAATTATTATTCGTGCAGATTGGATGTTTGATTGTATTAATTGCAGCAAGACAGGAATATTTGATGTGTTCGACTACCGTTACTCAACAGTTTTCAGATGATCATCATTACGTTAAATATCATGACTGCATGTGGATATATCAACTTCACAATGAAAATGATGAACGCAAATGAAATTCACTTACGAAAGTTTTTTCCGATTGTGACCTCTTGCGGCGGTTAGTCGGTATTGGTAAATTTTTTCGGTGAGTCTGAATATGGTAATGATGATTAACGTTTGACATTTCAGAAACGAACGATGGCTGCTGGCATTCACTACATTCATTCACGCAATTCATTCGTTGATCGTTGCAATTGACATTGCAACAGGATGGAATAATTTTTTTGCAGAAAGTGTCATTAAACGTTATGTTCACCACGTTTCTACTGTACCCACGAGGTTTTTGCGATTACATGGGATAATGACGATGATAACGATGACTGGTTATTAATAAAAGCATCAGTGTTTTAATTATTATTCTTTAAATCAAATTTTTTAAGAGGATCCCTCAAAATTTCTAGAGGATCCCTCAAAATCAAGAGAACCCCAGATCCTCAAAGTACTACATCCGGCAAAACCATGAATTTTGAAGATTTTAAGGTTATAACTAATTGTCCAAAGCAAATCTAAGCGCATACTTTTTTTGGAGCCGGAGCCTCTTCGGTCCTAGCCGTCGGCATGTCGAGAACGGCGTAGGACCCCAAGTATTCCGCCGCCTCCACTATTTTTGCGCCGGGTCGTCCATAAATTTTGACGGGTGCGGCGGTATGCAGTGGATGAACCACTAGCATGACCTCCTGTACCCGGCAAAAAGCGGTGATTAGTGTATCGGGGATTATCCCCGTGGTCTCCATTAGTGCTGAAAAATGAAACGATTAATTAGCGCATATCCACAACAACAATGAAAGTCAACCCATGATCCATGTATTTCTATTATTCGATCATCGTTCATCTGAAGTAGTTTATTTCTAAGATTAATTTTCCTAGTGCAATTTGTTCAGGGTTATATATTTTGGTCGATTTCCTCTCAGATAAGTGAAGTTCATCAGCTTCCTGCGATTTTTTTATTGTACCTTATTCATCGCTCATAACGCAGTTATTATCTATTGAAGTATTGGCTTGTAAACGGTGAGGAAGCGATTTCTAACGTTTCCGAGAACGTGTACAATTGCGTAGGGCATATTATCTAATGAAAAAAGTTGATTTCAATAACTGCATGAATTGTTTCAATTTAAACTCACTTATTTTAGCTTTTGTTAGTGGCCCGGCATACCTGGCCATCACGTGCCAGGTTGCTAGGCAATAATCCTTGAACCGGATATCGGTCGGGATCACCTGCAGTACTGTGAGTACTTGCAGCATCGTTGAGCACGGGATACCCTCAACTCCCCGTGCTCTGAGGAGCCCCTCAAATGGGGCCAGTCGCGGGTCCTCCTCCTCCTGCCGCGCTCTTTTTACAACATAACGCCCCTCCATGTTATTATAATTTTTTTAAAAAATAAACAAAACAAAATTAAAAAATAAAATTATAATAATCACACACACACACACCAAAAATTTCACACTCAAATCACACAGAAACACACAAAACAATATTCACAAACTCACCAAAAAATAATAAAAACACTCAATCACACTCTCACAACCTCAGATTATCACACAAAAATCACTCAAACTCTCACTCAATCACTCACACAACCGCCACTCGATTCCCCAGCGTTATTCGAATATCGCTCGTCCGATGGCGATCTGAAATTCGATAAGACTGCTAAATATAAGCATACAAGTTTCAAATATAAGCATACATAAGCATACAAGTGAATGTCGTGATCAAGAACATAATGAAATGACAAATGAATGGATTGAAGGAGATATATGGGAGAAAATTGAATTCATGGAACCAATAAGAGAATTAGCGTATAGAGAATGAGTCAGGAGATTCGGAAAGTTTCAATAGGCTAAACCAAGTCAATCATGGAATATATCCTGAGATATAGATTTCGGATTCTTTCAGATCAGAAATCCAGATTTTGCCGATATCAGGAAATTTGTACTGAAATTGTTGAGATAATTTTGGCAACGATTGTGCTGATGAATTTAAAAGCAACGGATATGTCATCCATGGACTATGCACGCTCGAAGGGATCTTCATCCAATAAACGCATTCAGTGAGCAGCCGACATGGAAGAATCAGGATCGGCAGAGGTGAAATGGGATGATAGGAAGGTTATCATGATAGTTGCATCGCTTTAAGGTGTTAGATTGCTGAATTTCATCAGTGAAAAGATCTGATTCATCGCCGATTCCGACAGAATTTTGGTCCTAAATATCGAGGGAATTCCTCGGTTCTCAAGCAAAACGCGTGCATTTGAGCTCGCTGATATGACTGATGTAACGCTGTTCATCGAACTCATTACATTACATCCCGTTAAAGACTCACGCACAAAACACTTTGTTCGGCTTATTTTTGTTCAATATTTTACCTCAAATGTTTCGAGATTTTTATTGTGCAGCATTCCTGGCATGTTGAATTATTCTGCCTGTTTAAACCTTTCAACCAGAATGATACATCTAAGCAAGAATTCATTCGTAATCCATGAAAGAAGTCTGTGAAATTCAGCATAATGCCGTTATCAGAACGCAAGCCAGATGAAATGTTGCATAAAGAGAATCAATTGGAATATTTTACTCGCGTGAATGCAGATCAACGGTTTTACGAAGCAGCAATCGGAATCTGAGAGATTTTTCAAGGTTTGCGAGAAATTCATCATCATAATGAAGCATGAGCATTTTCAATTGAATTTGTTGCAAAAAATCTGTTTCGTTCGGTCGATAGATTCAGTGAAGGAACAATGATAGCAGCAGAATCATAGGACGACAACTGAATTTTGATGGGTATATCCATTCGCGTTTAGCATTTGATATAAGTGCAAAATCCATTAAATTCAAGCGCTGCTTTAATGATTTATCGCCCTTTCAAATGGGAATTTCGGATCAAAATATTATTCAAGCAAGATTCTAATGGAGCCTCAGATAGTCTCATCGATCGCATAGCGCATGGGCGAATTCTGGCGAAAAATGCTATGTATCTTTATTCCAGTCTGGAGAAGTGTTAAAAATTTTGGGTTAATGCTTTTGCAGCATGGCACAATGAAGTATTGCGATATGAATGATAATGCTCTTCGATAGACTGAAATTACTTGTGCAGTATCGTTGAGGCACAGCAAACAAGCAATAAATGTTCAAATCACAGAATTAATTGCATGAAGACCAAAAGTGATAGAAGAGCGTTGAAAATCGAAACGAAATTGAAAATCAATTAAGGAAACAAATAGATAAACTCATTGAATGATATTCAAAACATACATTTTGTTAGTAACGATTTCTCACGCGTGGCGTCGATGTTACGCTGGGGAACCTTATCTGAAATTCAGCGAAATGACATGAATCAACTTGAATATGAATTTTCGTGTACCACTTGGATAATTATTTATAGTTGGAATAAGTTTCGCATATGTATAATTTTTGATTTTTTATAGTTGGATTTATGAATTTTCTCTTTACCCAGACTTAGATGGAATTCAGCCGGAGATGCTCACATACGAGGGGGTGAGAATACCACCCTAACATTGCATCAATATATTGTCGAGGATAGATCACAAATTGTGGCTGATATTTTAGACTAAAGAAAATTTCAATGAGATGAAAAATTAATGATACAAATGAATTTCAAATCGGAAACAGAATTAATTTGAAACATACTATTATTTCAATAATTTTCGAATCCAGTCGCTTCGATTGATAGCGTTAGAGAGTGGTCAGCCCTCTTAAAATTATTACAGCCAAGCTGAAATTCAACATATTGTGAAAGACTGTTGAAAGATAGTACCATAAATCATGATAACGCGAACCGGGTTTACGAGCGATTAGCACATGTAGACTTAAGACGGATATATGTGATGGAGGGTGAAAATGAATGAAGGCGATTTTTGTTTGTTTTGAAGTTGAGAAGATTATTGCTTGCGATCATGCAATCATTTTCTCATCATAAACATCGTCAGTCGCACCATCAGTTTTTTTTTTGAATATCTTTGATGATATTTCTATGAGCTCATGATGAAAATATTATAATAGGAATAAAATCATTGAAACGATTGTGGCTGTTTAATGATTGTTTTGGATTGTTTTCTGAATGAAAAATGATGAGGGCTGAAAGTGAAACACTTAATAAATGATTGCCGACAATACTGAAATGATAACTTGAGAATGAATTTTGATGCTTACATTCTTAGATCTCATGGAATCACATTCAAACGGTATCAAAATGGCAAATATTTCAAATCGTTCATGTGCGTGTCCCAAGAATGCTAAGTAATTTGCAGTCAAAAAGTAGTATCTCAAATGAATTCGAATAAGAGATCTGATATTTGAGAGTCTGCAAAACTCGTTAAAACTTTGCGTTTTGCCTAAAAACCGCTTTGCAAAGTGATGATTGTTAAGGCATTTCAGTGCCACGTGTATACTGGGAGATTCTCTAAAGTTTTCAGATTGATGAAGCATTCACGATGATTTATGGTACCTCTGAACAAGAAATGATAGCAATTTTATTGAAAAGAATATTTGTATCAAAACATATTCATAGCTGAAACATAAAAACGAAAAGAAAAATGTCAGAGAACGACTGTGTTGACGTGACGAAAGAGAAAAAAATGAGCGTGATGAAGTGTGGACGAATTGAAAACAATCGATAGATTGTAATCAGTAGAGCAATTGATCAAGAGTGATGCGTCGTGGTCACTTGCTGCTTCATCTACTGTGTTGATGCCACGTGCCACTTAATGCTGCATCTACTGGGTTGATGCCTCTCTTTCACACTAATTGCTTCGTGCATTTGATGTTATAAGCATGCATGCATTACTACAGTCTTGTTGCAAATCATTCAGTTTGAATGCGCATCAAATTAACTGACAACTTAATGCTCATCTGCGAACAATCATATTATTCACAACAAAATTTCTATTGTCTACATATGAAAGAGGCCAGCATTTGACCATTCCGGTAGTGTTGATCCAGTTGGTGAAGCTAGATCAGTCCATACATCCTTACAGCCGAAAATAACCTGGCTTGGGCTAGGGAAACAAGATTCTATCTTAAGTTTTGGACACATGTTTATGAGTTTCATACACCACCGATTTCGTTAAAATGATCACAACTTAAATATATATCGTTCCAATCATTTAAACGACCATTCGTGCAGATTGAGCTGGTTTTCTGAAGTTATGCAATACAGGTGAGCGATATTAGTTCGTCATTACCTGTTAATACCACCGATCTAGATCAACAGTTGATCCTCACAATCAGAATATCTCAATGCATGCCTCAGTGTTAATTCCTGCACATCAGTGCACAAGTAAGTTCCATGCACCATTTTTTATATCGATTTTACCACACGCAGGAAAGGGAAATCTACCAATTGCTAACAAACATGATCCAGTTTCTGACGGAACATCCCAGATTTCAAACATTCACGATTGCAGTTGTACGCCGAATTGAACCATTCCAAAGGGATATTCTCAAAATTTGAAGTTCTCTATACATTCCAGTCCCAACATTGTAGATTTTCAACACAACAAGACATTGATACGATCTCAGAACGCAGGCCACATAATCATAATGTTACAATTGTGCACCGTTAATATCACAATGATCGTTAACATCAACTTGCAATTATAACTCGAACTCTTCATCCAGCAGGAAGCATACTATTCCTGATCCAGAGGCCGACTTTTATGAGAAGGGTATATTCAAACATCATTGTGTGAAGCATATCAGAGGAAAGAATCCAACCGAATATCGCACGTACGATATCCAACGCATATGGTGCTGTAAACTCACGCCAACAAACTCCATTCCCCCTCGATGGCCTGACAGGCAGCCAATAAACCTAGTAATACTTCACCATCAATCCACAAAATATGAAGAGCAATTTGTAAAAGATGCAGAACTTCCTCAATAGCACTAAGGAAATTGATTGTTTGGAACGAAACAAGCATGCTCATTGTTAGACATTTATTCATCAATTGCACAAAACTCAACAATGAAAAATGAAACGAAAATATTAATTCACTGACTTCTTCAATTATCATCTGACACCCCATAATTACAATATTTCCATTAGTTGTAAATCGGCTTTGAGATAAACACTGCTGTTCACATTTGATCATAATCTTCATTAGTCGTTGCAACACCACACGGCTGTCATGGGTTACATTTCGACCTATCGGTATGCTCACAGTTACCGAACAACACGCGAGTTCTCTGCAAAACTGACCTCAGAAAATCCACTAATGCCAGAAAATTATAGGATAGGTACGAATTAAGATAGGTTAGCCATACAGGTGAGTGATTTCATTGCACCTTCAATAGGGACATATTTGATTTTTTGCGATGCACTGTATCACTGCTGATCACTGTGA